CTACTAACTCAAAGTCAATTTACAATTACTCAAGTCTTATACCTCAACCAATACCATGGTTAGATGCTTATTTCCTTTGCAAATCTATCCTCCAGATATCACCCGCCAAAGTTATAAGCAACTTCACTTGAACGCATCCACCATGATCCTTGGGGCGCACACTTCTCCAAAGTGGCTTGTCACGAAATTTAAGCTAGATCTTCATCTTTAATGTGTGAAGTTGAATAGAAAATTTAAGAGGGATGACAATTAGAGATTTGTGGATCTAGGGTTGTGCTAAGCTCTCTAATGGGTTAAGAGGTAGAATTTCAGCTTACAATGGAGATACCCTAGCATAGGAAGGCTTAACCTTTATATAGGTTTGGAATAAGGTTTGTCTTGGGGACCAAGAAATACCAATTCATGAACCATGCTCGAGCCGTCAGAGAGCAGTCAGAGGGAGGTTGTTTCTAGAATAAAAAAGTGTTCAAACCAGATCTAGAAAGCAAGGACCGCTCAAGTCATCTTGGGACCGCTCAAACCATCTCAAGACTGACCCGAGCTGCTTAAGAGTGACCTCTATTACCCAACTCATCAACCTTTCCCGATTTAATCCATAAGTGTTTAAAGATCACTTTAGCTTAAGGCAATCAAGAAGATGATGGTTCCTGCTAGTTTTTAAGCTAGAAACCCAACAAAAGTTTATCATATTGAACACTAAAGGATGTTGCTCAAATAGGATCCAATACATAACTCAATCTATGTTTTCAAAACACATTTCAAGTCTAGAAAATCTTTTTTAGGAACAACCTAAGAGCCATTCACGAATCTTCCAATTATATTAACGTAATTAGCCTAAGTCTATAAATAAACCAAGGTTTCTTAGCAATCTAGGTCATTACTTTTGTCATTAGAGATCTTCTTGTTTGGTCTTTTTAGCTTGAACCTCATCCTTCTAAATTGCTGTTGGAGGTTGATTTTTGAAACATCTTAACCATGGATTAGGTTGATATTTGCATCAAAACTTCACAAAATTAGCTAATTACATTTAGTTTCCTGACAATTTTCTCGTTCCAGTGACAACTGTCCTTAGACAGCTCGAGCGGTCGCTCGCGAAATTCAGTTTTTGGTCCCCAAAACTACTCTAATTCTGGGCCTATAAATAAAGCCTCTCTAACCTCGGGTATCTCTATTTTAATCCTAAAAGATACCTTTTACACTAATATAGAGCCAAGAACAATCCAGATTCCTAAGATCCTAAGGCTAAATCCTACTTCATCCTTCAAATTTAACATCACACATTAAAGAAGAAGCTCTTGTAGTGAACCAACAAAATCCACATTGGTTGTGTGCATACTAAGAATTAATCAATTGTGCGGCAATTAAGTCCAAGTGAAACTAGTTCTCAAAACTGTGGTAGGTGTATTCGGAAGAAAAATTCAATGAAGAAAATATCTAACCATGGATGCATTGGTTGAGGCAAATTAAAGACTTATATTCTAGTAATTGACTTTGCAAATACTGGATTAGGTTAAGTGAATCAGGATTGGTTCCATTGTGTTTTCCTAGAGGGTTTCCTCATTAAATTGCTTATGTTGTGAATGATCTTTTTATTGCTTAATTTTGCATACACATAATTGCAATAACACGGACACACACAATGTGTTTGGAGCTCAAAAGGGAACATATTAAGTTTGAAGAAACCCAAAAATCAAGTTTGAAGAAACCAACTAGGATTTCAGTTTTCTTCCTCTACACACTACAACTTCTTGAACATACCTTAGGTACATCTTCTAGAGTCTTAGTAGATCATACTTTATGCATAAATTTGAAGAAAACAAATAAAGTGACTCTTGTGACGCCCGTAAAACCGGGGGTCCCGTTGACAACCTGTTAACCCGCGAAAATGCCCGTATTTGCCGCTTGATCCGACATCACGCTAATATTATGCCTTTTTTACCGGAATTTTTCATTACACGAAACACCTGTGTTCCATTAATCATTTAATGCTATCGAGGTTCAATATACCTTAATATATCTCATTTAAGGTCTATTTATATCATTGGAACTAAAAGTTGCATAGCCCAAGGTCTTGGAAGAAAAATAAAAAAAAAATTAAAATCTGTCAAAGCGTACCGGTACGTGTGCCTCACTGGACCTCACCGTACCGGTACGCTGAACTCTCTGGACCTCGCCGTACCGGTACGCTAAGTCTATTTTTCCCTGTTTCATCAGTTTTCGATTTCCAATCCAATCAAAACCTTTTCAAATTCATCCTAAACATGTATAAAGATATTTTCTACATTATACATGATTCATACAAGTCTATTACACCCCATTCCATACAATTTACATGTCAAAATGGAATTAAACCAAATGTTTTACATAAAACTCGGTTCAAGAGCCACAACCTGGCTCTTCTTCACTCTCGATGCCCCGAATGTGTGTCATCCACTGGAATATGCCCCGTACANTCAAAATGGAATTAAACCAAATGTTTTACATAAAACTCGGTTCAAGAGCCACAACCTAGCTCTTCTTCACTCTCGATGCCCTGAATGTGTGTCATCCACTGGAATATGCCCCGTACATGAAATGTGTTCCCATATAGAGTGAGCCAACACCCAGTAGAATATTTCCTACAAAGGCTACTCCCCACCTAAGTGCATATGAATGTATACATGCAACAACACACAACCAATATCCATTCTAATGCGAGAATATGCTATTCATGTTGGAATCTATCATGTCATGCCATGAAATGAAATGAGACTCACTCACGCACATCAACCCCGAGCCCTCACCGGCTCTCACCACACTATGCAATGCAAGTGTAAAACATTTATCATTAATGAAATACATCAAATAATCATTTTTAAAACACCAACTATATATTTATAAAACCACTTCTTTCATGGATATTTCCCATCAAATGAAATCTTTGTATTACAAAATCATGTATCTTTGTTGAGTATCAGATTTCAGAATCACACCGACTGGCTCTATATGCCATTACACTTTTCTGAAATTTTACCACAGGGAAGTGTATGAACCAAGTAGCCGGGCCTTTCACCCGAGGGAGTGTCTAGCCCTTCTTGCTATACCCGACACAAGTTTTTCACATATGCAACCGTGCGATTCAGTAGGATAATCAACCCCACTTTTTCGAGCCCAGCCTTCAAACGCCAAGTATGGTGATTAATCTAACCATGGACACACACACACCCATACTCATGGCCATGGATGCATATTCCCCGTGCAAAAGCAATGTAGTGTACCATTGCAATGTCTATGTCATACTCAATATGCAATGTATGCCAATGAGCCAAATTAAATCACACATCTCCACATGTGTCATGATAACCTATATCACATGTATATAATCACCAAAATTCATTATCATGTCAATGCATCAACTAGCATAGATCAACATTTATATACCAACAATCCTTCACAAGCATATTATACATAACTCATGTCATAATACACTTCATTTATAAGCACCATAAAGAAAATAGCATGCTTAAGATATCAAGTTTTAAGGAATTACACTAGTACATTCCTTATATCAAACTTAGCTAGGAATTGGTCTAGGCCATTTCCATACTCATTTTTCCTTATTTTCCATAACCTTAGTCAAGTGACCTAGGTTATTTAATACCCTTACCAATAACATATTACATCTTAGGTAAGAAATGAACCAAGGTAGGAGAAACCTTATCTCTTGGAGCGTGAAAAAAAGAGAGAAAGCTTCAAGAACACTCTCAAGCCCCAAACTTTTGATTTTCCCAAAATCCGCCTCTTGGATCTTCGGTGAAATTCTTCGTTTTTGATACGTACGCATAGCCATTGCTGCGTAAATCAATTTTAACTCTTGGTCTAACGGATTTCGACCGACGGAACTCCGGAAATCGAAGGAGAAAGCCTTGAAAAAATGATTTATCTCCTCTCTCCCTTCAACGTCTGAATACAACCGGCCAAATGGTGAGAAAAATCTGAATTTTCAAATATTTTGCACGTATTTATACTTTTTAATTGCGCGGTCCACATTGTCCCACATGTTTATCATTTCCGGGTCCGTTTTTAACCAAAAACTACTTAATTAAATTTCAGTTTTAGTTCAAATTAATTTTATTTGAACTTTTATTCAATTATAAGAAAATTTTATAATTTCTGTTTTTGAGAACCTTTAAAAGTTCATTCGTCACCCAATTGTCTCGAAAAACGTATAAAATTCGACTATCTCAGAATTCGACGAAAATTAACGTGATAACTTAATTTTGCGATACGAATCCAACGGTGAAGTTCATTGCCCCATCCAAACTCTATAAAAATATGTATTTTTAATCCCGCATAATAGCGACAAATTACTATTTTACCCTTTATCGGAAAAGTTCAAATTTTTTCGAGTTATACAACTCTTACTCATTTCATGCTTCAAATTAAGGTTTAAAAATTCAAACTTCAATTTCGTCTTTTCCTAACCATTTCAACGAAATTAAAGTATGAAACTCATGTTCTTAAGTTTCCAGAAGTTTCACCATTTCTTGATTGGAAGAGAGGAACAATCATGAAAATAACATATAAACTCAGAGGTGACAATTATTGACTACAAGAGAAAGGTGGGGGGAAGGTGGAATCATAACCATGATAACCTATGTGATTTTTAGCTCCACTAAGACAACTCTTGAAATAAAAAAGTCATTCCCAAGAAATGCTCGTTTCAAGTAGAATATAATAAATACTTTCAAGGAATTTGAGGTAAGAATGGTTCAGAAGAGTCTGAAGGATAAGATGTCCAGGCAAATATTACGAAAAATAAAAGACGGTGAATCAGAAGTTTAGGATGATTTTCACTGAGAACAAATAGAAGATGAATTTTGGACGAAGAGTTCGGGAGAATAGAAAGCTCAAAAAAAATGATAAAAAAAATAAAAAGCTATAAATCAAAAAGTTAGGATGATGTCGGCCAAGAATAAATGGTCCTATGTAGCAAAGTATGTATGCCACGTGTATGCCAGGTGGCTTACCATTAGCTTACTTCTGCCACCAGCACAAGACACCCAAAATCTTGAGCCTCCCTCACCATTTGCTTTCCCCACAGCAAAACCGATTTGGAAATAAAACGTTTCGATCGAAACCCAACCATTTAGGGTTCTGCAGAGCAATTCCAATGGCGAAGAAGAGGAAGTCAGATGCTACACGGCTGGACGAGGTAGATCGAAACATTTACTCCACCTTCTGCAGTGCTGCCAACTCTCTGTCACAGCTCTACAGCCAGGCCATGCACCAGCAGAGGCTCTCCTTCCAAGCCGGTGAACGTCACGCGTTGGTTCGATCCCTTCCCTATTTGATTTTTCATTGGTTCGATTTTATGGGTTTTCTCTGCTTTAGCTTTTGATCATCTGGGCTTGCGTATATTTCTGTCCGTGTATGTGTGTATTGTGCACATATATAATCATTTTGGATAATGGGATGATGTAATAGAAATCAAGAAAGTCAATTCAACTGATTTTAGTTGTTGTCTGATGGAGTCAATGTTGAAGAGCTCTTCTTGTTAGGAGGAAAAATGAATCCTATAAGACCGAAGGAGAATTTGGGCGATATTGTGGAAGGCTTCATAATTCTTACAGTTAATAACACCGCAAGATTTTATGTAGGTTCTTCCTTTCAGCCATTATGAATTGGTCTATGGTATTGACTGTTATTAAGGAATGTGGGCTTTAGTTTGTTGGTTCTGATTCGATTAACTCTGCTAAGGCTTTTGAGGAATGCTTTCAGCTCCTTAGAGGACCAACCATTGGATTGGGACCAATTCATGTTGTGATACTTTATGTCAAACATATTTTATGCGGTGCTTAGTGCTTACGGATATAACAATCTATTGAAGTCCTTCAAGAATGGAAAATGTCTGGAGAGAATGTGTATGGTGGATTGGGTCATAGTTTGGTCAAGCTAATTATTTGGAATGCTGTCACTCCACTTGGCTTTCATTGAGCCACTACTGCCAAAGACGCATGAGATATTTCTTAAAAGAATTCCAAGGCGATATGAAGATAATAAGCATCAAGCATCAATACTTGTGAACATGATTGAAAAATCTCAAGATGAAGGATTTGAAAGGTATGCAAGATTACTTTTCAAGGGTCATGGAACTTGTTAATCAATGAGATCATTTGATGGATATATACCTGATCAAAAAGTTGTGGAAACTCACTCACTTAGACAAAATAGGTATTTCCTCATATTTATGTGGGTGCATGCAAACTCACTCACTTAGTCAAAATAGGTATTTCTTCATATTTATTGATGATTATTCAAAATGACATGGGTGCATTTTTTGAAAGAAAAATTAGGGATTTTTTCGGCCTTCAAAGAGTTTAAGGCTTTTGTTGAAAAGTAAAGTGATTGCAATATCAAAGTCATTGATTGAGGTAAAGAATATACCTCTAATGAATTTGAAAAATTTTATAAAGATGAAGGTATTTTGGAAGCCATTAACAACCAGATACCGTCCACAAGCATTGCAAAAAGAAGGAATAGGACAATAGTCGAAATGATGAGATCATGCTTCTTGACAAAAATATGTCTAAGATTTTGGGCAGAAGTAGTTCACACTGTAGTTCACATTCTTAATAGATGTCCAACCAAAGTAGTTATAAACAAAACCCAATTTGAAACTTGGAGCAGGTTTAAGGCATTGGTGAGTCATTCAAGAATTTGCGATAGCATTTGTTATACTCATGTTCCGGATGAAAAAAGGGATAAGCTAGATAAAAGTGAAAGATGTATTTTCTTGGTTTTTCTGATGGAGTCAAAAACTTATAAATGGTTTGACTTTGAAACTAAATTATTGGTTATTAGTGGATACGTAATTTTCAATGTAAAAACATTTTGTAATTGGGAAGAAAAGAAAGTTTAGGTAATCCCTCGATATTTGAGATGCAACAACGAAATACCCTTTTAATATTAGAATAGGGAAGTAAAAACTTAAACCCCCCATCAATTACCAAGAAACAATAACATTTCTTCATTAGAACTATCCTTACCAAGTAGTAGAAGTAGTTCTTCATCAGAACCATCCTCACTAGAGTCTTCTCCAAGAAAGACAAGAAATTTGAGAGATTTATGGGTTATGCAATTTTATTGTAGTTGAACATGAGAATTTTGAAGAAGCATAAAAACAAGAAGTTTGGATGAAAGAAATGCACGGACAAATAAAAATGATCAAGACATAGGAATTGGTGGAACGTCCTCAAGAGAAAGATACAATTGGAGTGAAATGGAATTTCAAGGTAAAGATTTATCCAAATGAAACTATACAGACTTACAAGGCTAGGTTCATGGCAAAGAAGGATATTCTCAACAGCCAGGCATTGGCTTTTTTTGAGATTTTAGCTCTAGTTGCAAGATAGGAAACTATTAGAGTATTAATTGCATTGGCTACACAAAAGGAAAGGTTTTGTTATCAACTTCATATAAGATATGCTTTTCAAAATGGAGTGTTAAGTGAAGAAATATATATGCAATAACTCCAAGGATTTACAGTGAAGGGTGCGGTTGATTACAAGGAAGTACTTTGAGTAGGGTACAGCCAAGTAGATGATTCCTTCCCCAGCCATGGGTTTGACAAAAATGAAAGTGAACTAACTTTATATGTTAAGGCTGGAGGTATGTCAGACTTTTTATTTTTTCTTTATATGTTGATGATTTGATGTTTATTTGCAAGAGTAAAGAGATGATACAAGAATTTAGAACTGAGATGATGAAGACTTATGAAATAAATTGATGTAGAATAGAAAAGGAAGAAATTAGAGAATAGAAATAAGAAGAGATACCAAACTCTTGCAAGGATTAGGTCAAGAAACAAGTTTTTTGTTATATCATTCTATGATCAAAATAGTAGGGATTACATCGATATTTATAGGCCAAGTCCCCTACGAAAATAAAACTATTCTCCTATTAAAATTCTAAAAGAATTTCATAATCAAAATTTTAAACTTCTATACTGCTAAAACTCTATAATTATTTTCTTATCAAATTTTAACTAATACTTTTAATTAAATAAATACTCCTAAATTAAATAATAATAATAAAATTACCAATTACACTTCCGTTCGGACTAGAAATTCCTCGTCTTTCGCTTAAACTTCTAAAGTTAATTATTTTAGTTCAACCAACAAATGGCTANAATAAAATTACCAATTACACTTCCGTTCGGACTAGAAATTCCTCGTCTTTCGCTTAAACTTCTAAAGTTAATTATATTAGTTCAACCAACAAATGGCTACGCCACCAATTCTCTCCTGTTGAAAAAAACTTGACTTTAGCGAGTGAGGTGGAGGGCTTAGAATACGATCTGATGTAGAAGCTCTCTGAATCAATAACGAACTCCTTTTTAATTGCGGTGTACGCTCATCAGTAGCACACGTAAGAGTATATTTCTTTCTCCCAATTGTAAAAGAATAAGTATTAGCATGACCCATATGTTGTAAATCATGATCCCATATCTAGGTGTGCCCTAAAAGTATGTGACAAAGCTTGAGAGGTAACACACTACACATGACGATCTCCTTAAGGCTTCAAATGGTGAATGTAACTGAACATCTCTTATCAACTTTCAGCTTGGTATTAGTAATTTAAGCCACATGATATGGCTCCGGATGTGGTTCAACTTTCAAATTCAATTTTTTCACAACCTCTTCTGATACCACATTTGTGCAACTTTCCGTGTCAATCACTAACGAGCATATTTGTCATTCACAACTAACTCTTATCTGAAAGATTTTTTGTTAATGAATAGACTCACCATTAGCAACTTCTTTATTAACAAGATGTAGATGACGGATAACACCTTCAAAAATCATCATCCAAATCATCAAAATTAATCTCACCCATATCACGAGGTTCTATAATTTCTGTTTCAAAATCTGGATCATCAGAATCATTATANCATCATCCAAATCATCAAAATTAATCTCACCCATATCACGAGGTTCTATAATTTCTGTTTCAAAATTTGGAACATCAGAATCATTATGNTAATTTCTGTTTCAAAATCTGGATCATCAGAATCATTATACACCTTGGAAGTTTCCCTTTCAACCATAGCAACAGATTTTGAAGGGAATTAAAAAGAGATATGACCAAAATCATGACAATTAAAACATCTCGCTTTAGAATTAGTATTCCCTTCAAAAGAAGAATTAGCACTAATCTGAGATGGTTTGTTTGGAGTAAACTATTCTCTTGAGGTTTATTGGCGGACTTACATTGACTTGTATCTACGGCAATTCTCTTGATTTGGGTTGGAGGTGCCATAGAAGATCTCTTTTGCAATTCATCTTTCAACTGATAGGCAACTTGAACTGCATCTGCCATGGTGTAAAGTCTACTTGCAGCTAAACCTGTAGAAATCTAAGAATTGAGTCCTTACGTATACATGACAATCATCACATCCTCAATTCACGAGAATGCTGATTGGGTGGTCAAGCTATAGAATTTTTCAAGGTACTCCTTGACAGACATACTTCCTTTATTCAACTTTGTGAACTGTAGATGAGTTCGTTGCTTCTAATTAGTAGGCACAAAGTAGCGAAGCATAGCAAGCTTCATATCATCCAATGATCTATCAAAGTGAATTTGTTGATACTTTACCGACCAAAGCCTTGTCATACTCTTTCACTTAGATTCTGCAAAGAATACCTTCCTATTGTCAGTGAAACGATGCCATTTGAAGAAGTTTTCAAGACTATGCAACTAATCAACAAATATCTCAGGATTATTATACCCGTAAAAGTCTCCAACCTCCAGTTTATCCCCTTTATCAATATCAAACAAGCTTCTCGAACTGAGTCTTGTGGTGGAGGGACTTGTGTGAGCACTGGTTGTTGATTGATAGCCGATGAGAAGGAATCATGATTTGCATTAATCTTCATTCGTATACCATTTTTATCTAGTACAATGGCCATCAAGGCTTCCATATTTTTTTTTATTGAGGTGATAGATGTTTGAAGAGAATCTATTGATCCTTGGAGCGAATCTACTGGCGAATGATGTGCTTCAACTCTAGCACTTAACTTGGCATTGGTCATCATCTTGATTTGAGTAGAGTTTTGAGAAGTTTTCTAAAAATTCTGGGGACTATTAAGGCCTATTGACAGTTAAGGTATAGAAACCACATAAATAGCTCAGGAACTTTTCCTCTCCAACCGATGTGGGATGGCGCACATGTCACCTATAGCACCTCACCTCACCACACTTAAGCTGGTATATTGGACATCTTGGCTACTACAGTTACTACCAATTATACTTCCCTTTGGACTAAAATTATTAGTCTTTTGCCTAGGCTTTCAAAATCGATTTTATTGGTCCAACCATCCCATGGTTGCAGCATCATGA